TTGTACTTTGTTTTATATCCATAATACACTCCTTACACCCAGCTATTTACCGATGCGTAATTTCGAGACCGGAATTAATTCATGACATTAAAGTTAGTGTTTCAAATAAAGAATATCAAATAATCGAAGCCGAATCACCTATTTGTACAGGTCAAGATAGCCCGAGTTTCCTCTGGCTCCGACACCAGACTTAGACATTTTGACAGATATATGTCTGGTGTGGGACATCTATTTGTCAAAATGTCTAAGTCTAGTGTCGGGGCGAGAGGAAACTCGGGCTAAGGTCAAGCAAGACTTAACACTCCTTATTCTATTTCATTGGGCCTCATATGTAGGTAGCTCTGTCCAATTAGGGATCTGATAGTTATACTTGTGGCTACCGGTGTGGCCAAGTGGTTAAGGCGTCTGACACTCTGCTACCACTAGCCCTCCACCGCTGGGTCGCGGGTTCGAGACCTACATATATGTACGTGGGTCAGTCGCCAGGTACCGGCCGTCGGTCGGTGGTTTTTCTCCCTAAACTCTTGCTTTCATCCACTACCAAAACCTGGAACGTCCTTTAAAGACCATAGCTGTTAATAGGACGTAAAACACAAACAAACCAAACAAATCCTTATTCTATAGTAACATTGATATATAGCGGGTATAAAGTCACGTAGTAAGGACAATCTAACTTTGCAGTAAAGAAACTCCTTAAATTAAAGATCAAATCCCTTAATGTTTAAACCATGTAGTTAGAACTCCTGTGTAAACATCTTAACGGACGGCACTCAACATTATTTGTGTATAAAAAGTAATAATATATTTATAAAAAAACGATATAAATGTTTATAGTTATCTTCTTAAAGGGAAGATCAAAAGAACGCTTCATTTTGCTCTTTTTCTTAGCTAGGTGTTAATGTTATGGCGACCGTGTGACGTCACCGCTATAACGGAGGTCACAGGGTACTCCAAATGAAACAAACATTGTAGTCAATCTATGTACATTTCGGTTATTCGGGATTTTCCGTCACTATTTGGATTTGATGTCTCTTCATGATTGGTACACAACATCTGAAACAGTATGAGGGAAATGTCCGAACAGTTCCCGATTTATGAATTGTTAAGAAACCACCTGCAGTTGGAGGCCATTTCATGGAATCTCTGAATACAGGTTTGTACATGTATGTGTGCATATTATCAAGCTGTTGACGGCGAAACAACATATGGTGCTTTTGAGGAAAAACAACCACAGTGTTGGTGTGCTGTAGCATTCAAGTGAGGTGGTACTATAAAGAATGCTGTTGGAAGTACGGTCCCACTACAAACAGAACACAGTACATCTCCAGCCCACACTCGGGCATACACCCATAGGGAGATATTAGCCAGGTGGCATAGGACTGATAGTTAGCTCCCGATAAGGCTTCTCCTGCGAATTCCTCAAAAAATGTATTGACTAATGTGTATGCTAATTGTATTAATTGTATATATATGTACTGTAAAGCGCTTTAGAGTGGCTTATGTTAGCTACATAGGACGCTATATCAAATCTTGTAATTGTACGTTTTTGATGAAGCTGTTGAACTTACTGTACATTAAAATGAACTGAATGTATTGACATTAAAATCAACTCGACGTTTTTCGTAATTTAGTCTGGAATTATTTTAAGCCAGTTAATCTATTCAACAGAGATTTTTTACCAAATAATCTTTTCAACAGTGTTCGATGGATATTTTACCGTTCGTTTATGAGCCTGTTTCACTTTGTATGCTCCATTTATGAACCTTATTCACGTATCTGCATTTTATATAACCAAATAATTTGTTCCATTTTCGTAAGTAAATCACACATATTCAGTGGTATTTCTTGGTATGGGTTGAAGATTTCTGTAGAGTTAAGACTTAAAGTAAATAAAACTCCATAAACAAGAGCTCTCGGCAAGCTTTCATTCTTTTGTCATGCTAAACATACTAACACATTCGTTAGGAAGACTACAGAAACGAGGTATATTTCTCTCGTATTGTTGTAAAGCATGTCACATAGGTTACAGAACTAAATTGTAAATATATGAACATGTCTGACGGGCACCCGAAGGTTTAATGGCGTTTATACGACTTTATTTGCACACCACGTAGTTTAATGTTCCACCCTACTCTTTACTCGGAAACCGAAAACGTGTGATGATCAAATAAATCGGAATGGCGGTATTGTGATGGTAAGAAATGACCGCTGCCTGACCACTCGTTAAACGAACAATTTCTTCATTTTCAAGAGTATCTTTGAAATCTGTTTACAGCATTATGTTCTTGTGATGGACTTAATGGTCATTTGATGAAAGTAATTCCACCTGTTTACTACAATTGTCGGCCAGCAAATCCTCATCTGTTTGGATTTTAAATTGTCTCGCCGCCGGCCACATTCACCTATTTTTAGGACTAAAGATAGCACGGAAAGAAATTAGATGTGTACTTTCTGACAAAGGTCACGTTTGGTTCAGGTATTTCGGCAAGTACAGAAAATGTTAAGGTAACTGCGATATCTTATCTTTATACTGTAACTTATAATCATGAAAGGCGAGAAATAGTTTAGATAAATGATCGAGTGTAAAAACAAACTTTTAAGTTTTAATGTTTTTTCATAACCCCCCACCCGAAATCATATATACAGTATGCATGCTGTTAATATTTTTGATTTTTGAATAAAATGCTGTTTAAACTAAACTACAAAGTTTGCAAAATCCTGAGAATTTTCAGAAAAGGGTTCTAGTACCGGATGAGTTATATACATGTAGGTGTGGTATGTTGGTTGATCATTTCTCTTTTCGTGTGTTCGTTTCCGTCTCCGTTCTGACATAGCAAAACAGTGAAATAACGTTATTTGGTCATGTCATTCGGGGACGAAATAATTCTTCGTTGAAAATTTTGAAGCTAGCAGTCACGAATTCATTTAAAGAACGCGTCGACACACTAGCGCGAAGCAACTAGCGAGATGCAGTCGATATTCGTATCATTCTATTTGAACACAAATGTGTATGCATAAAGTTGACGTCAACACGCCCGAATACACAAACACCATCGGAATCTGCATATATTAAACTGAAATATTGTGTCAGCACTGGCACGTTTCCGAAGCTATTAAAGTTCATGTCTTGCCCTGGTGAATGGCTGTAAGTGATATATTTGAACATGGGAAAATTATTAAAAACGGAAGAAAAAAACAATATATATTGACACAATTACCGGGATTGTCATTTAAAATAGCTTCCGGCAAACACACAAGGGAGAAAAAAAATTGTGTTCGGAGATAATTCGAATTTCTATCATTATTTTTTTTACAGAACAAAGGCCACCTACCGAATGTATCTCTTCATCTGCTCTTTGTTTATCATATTTCTCTTACAAACGTTTAACACTTATTTCCTGTGGCGATGTTCACCGACGGCTGCCCTGAAATAAACAATGAACATATATGCCCGACACAACATGCGCCTACCGCACTCCAGGTTTCAAACGCTATCAAGGGCTATAGCCTGCCTGTCGGTGGACCGGAGTTGGTTTTGCATCCTCCTTGTACTATTGTTTTGATATATTTTCCAAGTTTAAACATATTACTTACTTTGCACCTGTGAAAATATCGTTTTATTCTGACACATTCGAAAAATATAAACAGTACGACGCATTTTCATTCAAAAGACAACTCGAAAACATTTGGAAACATATATCAATTAGGCCGAAGTGGCCGTTGTTTATATTTTTTCCAACACGCCAGCGTTAGATATTCTACCATAATACTCGTACATGTGTTAATTATAAAAACAAATAACATGTCAACGATAAAACGACGTTTTTCATTGGACAGCATATATGGTATTTTTGAAAACAAAACACACATGCACCATCACAATTCATGCAATCACAATGTTTACGCAAAGGAATCGCCTTTAAGTATAGGATTATTTTTTTTGTATATAGGAAATGTCGCCTTATTAGTCAGGCAAAGTATGCATTTTGCTATATTGACGTGGTAGAATAGATATGATCAACATGTGTCTGCATATTGCGTTGGAATGTACAACCCTTGTTTTATATTTTCCTGTTATATACGCACTTGATATGTTGATTATTTCCTAAATATACCTTACCTTAAGTCGACTCCATTGCAATGCTGTGTTGTTTTACTGACTGAGAACAACATTTAAATTCAATAATGAAGGATGATAACATTAGCAGTAAAAAGAATGCGGTATTTAATTATTGACAGATACATACATCATATAACAGGAACAGTGATACGCTGTCAACTAAATGAAGGACACCTGCTGTCATGACGTCACAAGTAACGGTATCACACAAATGTTGATTTACAATGAAATATTAAAATTAACATATTTCACTTCATACAATGTTTTACCGGTATTTTGACGCTTTTTAAACCAACATTAATACATTGTTTTAAAGTAAAGAACAATATATCTTTATCTTTCGGATATAATAATATTATGTATTTAATGGAACTTTGTACAAGATGTTGTTGATAAAGTTTTAAAGCGTCAAAACACAGTTCTTCAACCTTTTGTTTTTGTGTGTCGTATTTATGACTGAATTTACCGATTTGTCTAGCATATATTTATTTTTTCTGTAAAAGTAATTTTATTTTCGATTCAGTTGTACATAAATGTAATTCCTATAACCTCAATGTTGTTATTTGACTCTAAATCATAGTAACGATATGACTAGTTGTAATATCTATGCTCAGTCCCTTGTTCAAAGCATTCGGTAATACAAATGTAGATGTGTTTAACCTAATTAGTCACAGGACGGCGGAGAGATGGCAACGAGACATTATGTATACAACACATAAGGGAAACAAGAGCGATTAATCAAACAATGTAATTAGGGAAAATAAGTTTCGATATCTGAAATGATATTTTCGCACAAACAAATAGAAATTCAGGATAAACGAATATATGTACCATAATTTTCCCTCGTTTTTATGTACGCCTTTTGATTTGTCTTTTCTAGGATCCAAGTTACTATAACGGAAGCCAAGTGACAGAGTCCAGTGGTGACCTCGCTAGTTCCAGTGAAGCACAAGAAGATCGTGGAGAATGGGGAAGCAAGTGGGAGTTCATTCTGTCCTGCATTGGTCTATCCGTGGGTCTTGGCAACGTGTGGAGGTTTCCGTATTTAGCGTACGACAACGGCGGAGGTAAACTGACCCTATTTATTTAGCATGGCTAATAATATATTCTTAATACAATTACTGGCGTCAAGTTGGACTAATGATTATAAAAACTTCCCATCTAACCATGCATGGTTGGTATTAATTTGAAACGATGGTTTGGTTTGGTTTTATTTTGGCTAATGTCCTATCGACAGCTAAGGTACCTCCATGTGTGTTGTGTATGCAGGGAGGGGTGTGTGTGGGCGATAGGCAGGGTATGTTGGGTGTATTTGGACCCTTGTGATAGCTTGGATCTGATGCCAACGTTATAGTGCTAGCCCATTGAAATACCATGCCAAAGGCATCCAGTTCAGGAAACTAAATAGTTAGCTGTAATGGTTGACAACATATTGTGTGTTTTTAGTAATGTGTTTTGCACTTTTCTTAGCTGAATATCTTAAGTAGTTCTTGAAGCAAGTGTCTATCGCACTTCAAACGCGTGTCCTTGCTTTGGCTAGAGAAAGGATAAATCTCCATCGTCTACCTTTAGAAAGCGGTTCTGACGTTCTTTTATGCTGAAAACGTCATCACTTTACAAAAGGACCGCGTCATGAAACGTCATCAATTTGTGCAGCAGAAATCTATCACAACAGGATTGCATTTTCTTGCATACTTGACCGAGATATCCGCATTTCCGTCGGTGCTAGAAGTTTCTACCCGACCCACGGGTCTGGATCGCTTACACGCGCAGACTGGCGGGGGAATTTATAGTGACCTTTCGGGATCACGCTATTGTTCGTGACGTCATTCTATGACGGTTTGGGGTCAGTCAGGGTCATTGACGTCATTATGACGATTTGGGGTCAGTCAGGGTCATTGACGTTATTAACAATTGCCATCCGGGCTTCATAAATGAAAAATGTGCGGACAGTTTACAACTTTACTAGAAGAGCAGTTGTTTTTGCAGGTTTTGGGTAGAAAGATTTAATACTCGACCTATTAAAGGATTCTTGGTTGTTTGTGTTGAAAGCTACATTTATAGATTAATCAAGATCTAGCATCATTGTAGTTTAAACACTTAAAAATCCCGAAATAAAAATACACAATCATCAGGGCGTTGTCGAGTCGTGTTAGATATTACAGGTTAGGTGTAGTACAGCTATACTGAGCACATTTACTCCTCACATCAGACAAAACCAAGCTGAAGATATATATGATAAATCATAAACCGCCTGAAGCTTTGTAATCCTTGATGACAAAATTATACAAGACAATACATAGGTGTACACGTTCACAATGATTCCTCTAACAACTGTGGTTTTACTTCTACACTATATCATTGCGTCAAACGCCTGAGGCAAGACTGTGAACCATGGCAAGGGCTAGACGGCGCTTGTGTCTGCTCTTCCGGTACATTGACGGATCTTTCACACGTGTACCTGACGGTGTTGTTATATATCATGGCCCTTGCTATGTTCAATTCATACTTGACATTCGTGGTATTCGTCTTTACAATTGAACCATGCAAATGGTAATAAATCCTGGCCTTAATTTACTACGAAACTACAATGATGAAAGTTAGATGTACATGTGTGTGTCTTTAGTACATCTGTCAAAGAACAGGGTGGTAACCCTTCTGGTGGACACCCCCTGAAAGGATGCGTTCTGGTGTCTAGTAAACTTCTTAATCAGGGTTGTCTAACTGTGGTACTGCAATCTACGCTGACGAAATTTTACGCTTTGTCACCATGTCCTGATTACCACCTATGATATTTCGGTGTAAATCTTAATTAAAGACATGTTCCCTTAATCCGATTTTGTTTGTTACAAACATCCTTTTCTAGATATGACAAAGTTTTCATGCAATGTTAACTTTGTTGTGTAAAAACGCTTAACCTTCCGAAGCACCTGGGCCCGCCTGCATTTTTACTTAGGGTTATGTTGTCTGACTTTTCCTTTTGGTACCGCCTCTGTTGTCCTTTTTGCATTAATTTTGAATAAAAGTCTTATCCTTGATTCATGACGAAATTGAACATATGTAACCTTTTAACTTGTACAACATAACATTTCTGTTTGATTAAAACGGCAATTTTGTGATTTGCATTAATTTTAGTGCCATTTTTTGTCCACAGCCGCTTTTGTGATAGCATATCTAGTGCTTCAATTTCTGATCGGCAAACCCATGTACTTCATGGAGCTTGTGATGGGACAGTATTCGGGGAAGGGACCCACAGGTGTCTGGAACATGAATCCTTGCGCAAAAGGTATACTATTTTAAGTAAAATGACAAGAGACAAAACCGTTCTCCTCAGAACAAATGTAACACAATACGGGTAGTATACTGTAGAATAGTTTCTATTAAACAAATTTAATGCACTGTGGTCGTAAAAATCTTGTAGACCAATCTCATAGAAGAAATGCAGAAGATCAACATATTGAGGTCAAACGTACATGCAATCCACTTTCAGCAGAAATACAGTTGATATGCCTCTGGGACCAAATAGAAATACAGTAGATCGGCCTCTTTAAGACAAAAGTAACAAACTGCAGGTAGGCAGTAGATCGGTCTCTCTAAAACAAAATAAACACACTACAGGTAGGCAGTAGATCGGTCACTTTAAGACAAATGTAACACACTACAGGTAGGCAGTAGATCGGTCACTTTAAGACAAGAGTAACACATTACAGGTAGGCAGTAGATCGGTCTCTCTAAGGCAAAATAAGCACACTACAGGTAGACAGTAGATCGGTCTCGTTAAGACAAAAGTAACACACTACAGGTAGGCAGTAGATCGGTCTCTTTAAGACAAAAGTAACACACTACAGGTAGGCAGTAGATCGATCTCTTTAAGACAAAAGTAGCACACTACAGGTAGACAGTAGATCGGTCTCGTTAAGACAAAAGTAACACACTACAGGTAGGCAGTAGATCGGTCTCTTTAAGACAAATGTAACACACTACAGGTAGCAATACAGGAGATCGGTCTCTTTAAGACAATAGTAACACACTACAGGTAGCAATACAGGAGATCGGTCTCTTTAAGACAACAGTAACACACTACAGGTAGAAAAACAATAGATCGGTCTCTTCAAGACAAAAGTAACACACTACATGTAGAAATACAGTAGATCCGTTTCTTTAAGACTTAAGTAAACAATATACAAGTAGAAATAGAGTAGAACTATACCTTTAGACTCGCACTGTATTTAGGATCACAGTTAAACGGACTTCTAAGGTATGAAAAAACCAGTAAGAGCAGAGTAGATAAAATCTCTTTAGACCAAAGGAATCGCACTACAGGTAGCAATGCAATACAGAGGACAAGTAACTTTTAACCAAATGTGATACTTTCAAATAACAATACAGAGGACAAGTACTTTTAGACCAAAGGTTATACACTTCGGTCATCGCAATACTGTAGCAAAGTCTCTATAGACTAAGCAAATAAGACTTGATAGTGTATATGATTAATAACTGCCAAGTCATGACGCTAATAACCATATAATACAGATCAAACGGTACAATAAACAAAACCTTACGAAATGGATACCGTTTCATGAATGATAAAGATATTGTAATCATGCTTGCATGAACTGCATTTAGGAAGATAAATTGGTGAATAGTTTGACGTCAGCTCATTCATTTTTGTTCCAGTGTTAAAATATGTAAATAAATATACAACATTTGATATAGCGCCGTATCTAGCTAACATAAACTACTCTAAAGAGCTTTACAGGACATAGATATACAATTTTATACAGTCAATACAATTAGCATATATTAATCAATACAATATTGAGGAATTCGCAGGAGCTGCCTTATCAGGCGCTAACTACTAGTCCTATGCCACCTGGCTAATATCTCCCTATGTGTGTATGCCTGCTGGAGATGTATGGTGGAAATGTTAACATTGTGTTAGTCTATCTACAGGTATCGGTATATCTATGGTGCTGATATCTCCCTATGTGTGTATGCCTGTGTGCGTGCTGGAGATGTATTGTGGAAATGTTAACATTGTGTTTGTCTATCTACAGGTATCGGTATATCTATGGCGTTGATATCTCTGGTGGTGGCCATTTATTATAACGTCATCATGGCCTACACGCTTTTCTACTTCTTCTCGTCTATGCAAAAGACATTACCATGGACCGTTTGTAAACCGGTAAGTAAATCGTAAAGTCAGTAACACATAATCACACATTTGCACTCCTTTTGTAAAGTAAACTGAAATAAATCTGATAAATTAAAATTTTAGAAACACTTTCTATACCCAGTTCAGCAAGTATGCTTATTCTAATTCAGTCGTCATACATTAAGAGAAAATATAAAAGTTGATCTTAATCCGAATACTAATTTGTCTGTGGACGAGTGGGTGAGAATGGTCAAACTCTGTTTACGCACGAATGTGTTACCATTAAAGAGCTTCTCTCATGCGCCTTGGGCACCCGAGAGCTATATCCTGTGCAAAACTTGGATTTGGACAAGTTAAGGGTTTGATAAACTAATAATTTGGCTTGTGAAATTCTGTCAAATACGTATTGCGTAAGTGCCAAAAGGGGAATTTCCAATACAAGTTATATTCGTACAATTGGTACAATACGAATATTTTATATTGTATATATCTGTACTTTAAACAAAAAATCCTGTTTAGACTTCTAGAATATTTGTTCCTAATTCCATTTACTTAATTTTACTACATTGTCTTCTTATCATCAGGAATGGCTGCCAGAAGGCTGCGTGGAGCGGACAGTGAAGAAGATGTCTTACTGTGTTGCTAATATAACAGTCAATGAGGCGCTAGGTGTATGTCGCTGTACAGGCAACGCCACCTATGACAGTAGTGTGTCTGATGCAGGATTCAACTGCACCAACGCCACCTACCAGGGAGAGTCACCCGTCCCTGTGGCACAATTCTTCTTCGAGTCAGTATAAAAAGCAACCTCATTATTGATCGTTAGTCTGCTGGATAACCGAACTACTCGGTAGTGAAGCGGACGTAATTTTTTGCTCCTTCATATCAATCAATCAATCAATCAACTGATCGTTTATTGATTTCATAAAATATAGATATTATAGTATTTCGCTAGTTATACCCTAATGCTAATCTTATTTAGCTCACTGCGTGTTTTCGTGTGGAAAATATAAAACTTTCGCTGGGGGTCCTAGCAACCGCATATCAACAAAACCAACAAAATATAGTTCCAGTTTCAAAATTTAATTCGTAGAATTTAAACAAGTCGTATATTATTATCACATACTTATATATAATTAGCACACCTTATTTAAACTTTAAAACCAAGCCCGTCATTTTTAGTGTTAATTCATATTAGCAGAGACGTATATTACAATATACGTCTCTGATATTAGCATAACTTTAATGGTTATATCAATCATATTTAAGCGTCGTTCTATAAGGCTTTAGCAAATTTAGCAGTTTTAACAACCATGTATAAGTTCAGTTGTTTAGAAGTTTAAAAAATGTGATAGCTATAAAAACGATATATATTTTCATCAATACTAAATTTCTTACAAAACATTATCGTAAATAATATTTACTTTCTCTTGGTATTTCTCCCAATTTCATATTCTTCTTTTACCAATGATGGTCATATTGGCTTTGAAATGCAATCTGTTCCTGAGTTTTGACGACAAAGTAACACGAAACCCTTTCAGTAAATTTATTAAGCATAAATATGTCTGGTGTTTTATTCTGTTCATTTACACGTATTCAAAATATTTTTATTTTTAGTCGTGATGTACTGGATAAAACTCCCACTCTTAGTAACGACAACATTGGCGCCCCCATGTGGAAGCTTGCTCTGTGTCTCCTCCTTTCCTGGATCGTTGTTGTTCTCTGTCTGATCAAGGGAGTTAAATCATCCGGAAAGGTACAGTTTTGTTTTGTCTCTTTATTGTAAAGTCATTGTAAATAAATGTTGTTTTTATTTTAATGTGTATTTGATGTGTATTTGATGTGTATTTCAATGAACAAGTTCCCAAATTAATGTGCACTGTTAATTTTACGGTACAATTGATACCTACGTGTAAACGTGAATGATGCCCATTGCACGTACTACAGTTCATCCTACTGTAATGTTGACATCACCTCTGTCTACTTTACAGCAACGTTGATACGATATCCTCTTTAATATTTACTGTAACGTTGGCAACGAAGCTTCTTTTATATTTACTGTAACGTTGACAACGAAGCTTCTTTTACATTTACTGTAACGTTGACAACGAATTAGCCTCTTTTATATTTACTGTTACGTTGACAACGAAGCCTCTTTTACATCTACTGTAACGTTGACAACGAAGCCTCTTTAATATTTACTGTAACGTTGACAACGAAGCTTCTTTTATATCTACACGTTGTTTGTTTACAGGTTGTTTACTTTACTGCCACATTTCCCTATGTTATCCTGCTGATTCTATTGGTCCGTGGAGCCACCCTGGATGGGGCCATCGACGGGGTTATCTATTTTATCGTCCCTAAATGGGAAAAACTTTTGGATGTCAATGTGAGTTAAATCAAACTCAGTTTTTATAAGATAAAGTTAAAATTATATCTGAAGAATGATAACAAGATATCATAAAATGAGATAACACATTTTCAATCGATGTTTCTCATCATATTTTTATACTGAGTTAATCACCGTTCCTGGTTTCCTAATATTACATTTGAAAATTGATAGGTCTTACCTACATTGAGCTTTGAACTCAACTTTTTCGCCGTCTTTACAGGTGTGGGTTGCTGCTGCTGGTCAAATGTTTTTCTCCCTCAGTGTATCTTTTGGAGGCATCATAATGTTTGGCAGTTATAACAAGTTCAGCAACAATGTTTATGGGTGAGTGAACACGTACGTTGTAACATTAATGCGTGAGTGAACACAAATTTGTACTTTGTATGGGTGGATGAGCTGTAAACCTTATCATTAAGGAGGCGTAAGCAAGCACATACATTTTTGTTTAAACACTTTGAGAATAACATCAATCTGAATCTGCATTGGATAGGTTGTAATTCGTCCATACGCCTGAGTGTTGACTACTTTATGTGAGGTTGGGATACAGAGACAAGTTTCTTATATTAATTGCATCTTAGTTAATTTCTGAAAAAAACAAAACAGTTTTTACCCTTCACGTATGCGAGCATATATATATATATATAGAAAAAATAAAATGAACGACCGACTAAAAAACTAGCTGCTTTCACCCTTCACATGGCTCTTCAGGTTTATTCAAAAGAACCTGAACTTTTGAATAAACCTGAAGAGCCCTGTGAAGGGTGAAAGCAGCTAGTTTTTTAGTCGGTCGTTCATTTTATTTTTTCTATATTTACTTCCTTCACATGGACATTTAATCACTTTTTATTTTATATATATATATATATATGTGTGTGTGTGTGCTCTACTAACTCCTGTTTTAACTTGATTTATTACTTTATTGCAAACCAGCAGAAACATAACCTACCTAACATCCTCCCCTGTAGTTGGTATATTCTAGTTCACTAGGAAAAGATATTATCATTGTTATTATTATTTACACAATACAATATTTGAAAGAGCTTATCCCTCATCATTGAAATACTAGCAATACATCATTAGTTCAGCGTCAATAGATTGTTTTTTTCTGGCATTAGGTAATTGGGTCAGCATCATTGGTTAACTTTTGCTTTTTGCTAGCATTACATAATGTAGTCTGCATTACAAGGTATTTTTAGCATCACTAGCGTGCTTTTTGTTAGCATTACATAATGTAGTCTGCATAACAAGGTATTTTTAGCATCACTAGCGTGCTTTTTGCTAGCATTACATAATGTAGTCTGCATTACAAGGTATTTTTACGCGCATTACACAATTAGGTCAGCATCACTAGCGTGCTTTTTGATAGCATTACACAATTAGGTCAGCATCACTAGCGTTCTTTTTGATAGCATTGCACAATTAGGTTAGCATCACTAGCATTCTTTTTGATAGCATTAAACAATTAGGTAAGCATCACTAGCATGCTTTTTGATAGCATTACACAATTAGGTCAGCATCACTAGCATGCTTTTTGATAGCATTACACAATTAGGTTACAGTCACTAAATATATAGAATGCTTTTTGATAGCCTTACACAGTTAGGTCAGCATCACTAGCGTTCTTTTTGATAGCATTGCACAATTAGGTTAGCATCACTAGCATTCTTTTTGATAGCATTACACAATTAGGTTAGCATCACTAGCGTTCTTTTTGATAGCATTACACAATTAGGTTACCGTCACTACGTATATAGAATGCCTTTTGATAGCATTACACAGTTAGGTTAGCATCACTAGCGTGCTTTTTGATAGCATTACACAATTAGGTTAGCATCACTAGCGTTCTTTTTGATAGCATTACACAATTAGGTTAGCATCACTAGCATTCTTTTTGATAGCATTACACAATTAGGTCAGCATCACTAGCATGCTTTTTGATAGCATTACACAATTAGGTTAGCATCACTAGCGTTCTTCTGATAGCATTACACAAATAGTCGGCAACACTAGAATGCTTTTTGATAGCATTACACAATTAGGTTAGCATCAATAGCGTTCTTTTTGATAGCATTACACAATTATGTTAGCATCACTAGAGTGCCCTTTGATAGCATTACACAATTAGGTTAGCATCACTAGAGTGCCCTTTGATAGCATTACACCAGTAGGTCAGCATCACTAGCGTTCTTTTTGATAGCATTACACAATTAGGTTAGCATTACTAGCGTTCTTTTTGATAGCATTACACAAATAGTGGGCCTCACTAGAATGCTTTTTGATAGCATTACACAATTAGGTTAGCATCACTAGAGTGCCCTTTGATAGCATTACACAAGTAGGTCAGCATCACTAGCGTGCTTATTGATAGCATTACACAATTAGGTCAGCATCACTAGCATGCTTTTTGATAGCATTACACAATTAGGTTATCATCACTAGCGTTCTTTTTGATAGCATTACACAATTAAGTTAGCATCACTAGCGTTCTTTTTGATAGCATTACACAAATAGTGGGCCTCACTAGAATGCTTTTTGATAGCATTACACAATAAGGTTAGCATCACTAGCGTTCTTTTTGATAGCATTACACAATTAGGTTATCATCACTAGCGTTCTTTTTGATAGCATTACACAATTAGGTTAGCATCACTAGCGTGCTTTTTGATAGCATTACACAATTAGGTTATCATCACTAGCGTTCTTTTTGATAGCATTACACAATTAGATTAGCATCACTAGCGTTCTTTTTGATAGCATTACACAATTAGGTTAGCATCACTAGAGTGCCCTTTGATAGCATTACACAAGTAGGTCAGCATCACTAGCGTTCTTTTTGATAGCGTTACACAAGTAGGTCAGCATCACTGAAGTATTTTCCTGGCATTACACAATTTGGTTACCTTTAACGATAGTACATTTGTTCTCGTAGAGTCATATATACTGCAAATGCAACAGTATGTTGTTTATTATGAATGGTTGTCTCCCTTGTCTCTTCAGCGACGCCATGTTGATAGCTGTGATGGATATTGTAACGAGTATCATCGCCGGGTTCGTTATCTTCACTACATTTGGAGGAATGGCCAAGGAAATCGGAGTGGGTGTGGAGGATGTGGCAAAATCAGGTAGGAATATTTCGTATTGTAGAGTTATCTGCTCTTGATAGCAGGTATTGAATATTACGTCATTTGTTTGTGAGAGTAACTGCATCATTTATTGAGAAAACGACGTAATTTTTACACACAAACTAATGACGTAACAAGCAATGCCTGCTATCAAGAGCAGATAACTCTACAATACGTCAATGTAGAATAAATAATGTCCAATTAAATGACTCCATAATGTTAGTGTATGTATTTCAAAGTAAATGGCATGCTGTAGATTAATACAATTCTGCAATGATTTTCATCCGCGAGGGGGAATGATAGCGAACGTATACGTACCCCGACTGTCTGTTCAGACGCACGTTATTCTTTCTTTTATTGAAATGGAACACTCGCCATCAGATCCGCACTATCACAAGAAGGCAAATACACCAATATAGTCTGCCTCTTGCACACATAAACGCAAGCACGCATACGCAACACACACGGAGGCACGTCCTTAAATTACCTTAGCTGTTAAAAAGGATGTTAAGTCAAATATAACAAAAACAAAACCGAACACTCGCCAATACAGATGTTGGAATAACAATCACCGCACAAATAAATATACCCAAAATTTCAGTGAGTTGCAGTATTTAATTTTTGAAGTATCACTTGGATAAAAACATATACAAACAAGAGCGTATTCTGCTAAAAACGCCCTGCACTTACATACTTACTCTAAAAGTATCTATTTTAGTAGACTCAAATTTCGACGTATTATGGAATTTTAACAGACTAGCGAATGGAACGACTGGCTCACAATATATGCAATAGGAAACTGTATTCAGAAAATTTTAGATACATGTAGCACAATCATTTTTTACCGTTATATTTAAAGCGCGAAAGGCGCTTAATTTGGAATACTGCTAAAATGTGTACGTCTATAGTAATAATTATTCGTGATGAAAGAGGAAGTCTTCTGTGTTTTGAAATACTCACTACACACTTATAGCAAAAGCTGGTGCCTTCCTTTTAGATCGTACCAAGTATTATAATAAAATTAACTGCTAACTGATTGTTTGTTTACCCATAGGTTACGGTCTTGCATTTGTCGCATATCCTGAGGCGTTGTCCAACCTGCCACCGTCCCAACTGTGGTCAGTCCTCTTCTTCTTTATGCTGTTCACCCTAGGACTGGACAGTGAGGTAAGGAGGAACACACATGGCGTTTGTCTTGCATTTTTTCCATTGTTCAACGTAGAAGATACACTAAACGTTTGTACAGGAGGCACGGTAGTCTGGTTATAGGACGCTTGGCTCGTGACCGAAGGGTTGCGGGTTAGAGTCACGTCTCGGCACTGTGTTGTATATTTGAACAAGATACTTTACTCGACTTGTTCCAGTTCACTCAGCTGTAATTGAGTACGTGGTTGGGCAATGCTAGAATTGTTGAATGCTAACTGTGATCGCCGAAATGGCAGCACCGGCTGTATGCTCTCCAGGGAGTTGAGAAAGAAATTGGCTGGTTGCAAAGGCCATATAACCATGGATACTAGTTTGTTAACCGCTTTCAGACCACCTACGAACTAGGTTGTGATAAAGCAGTATATAAGCACCTCGAATTATTATCATTATTACTTGAAGGCTATGTTTTATGTTTTAATTACTCTGCGACAAAATAACAATGATCTCGTGATATTAAAGTATAAAGGGTTGTTTGAAGGTAACGGCTCAATTACTCGTCCACAGATTGTTGATATGGTTATATATGCTAGCAAAGAATATTTTATCATTGTTAAAATGAATGCACAACTACAAAAAAGTTAATGACAAATATCGTTCACTAACAACAGAAGTGGTTGAATATTGACGATTACATTGTATGTTACAGTTCGCTCTTTTGGAAACTGTTTTGACCTGTATCCAAGACGAGTTCCCGCACCTCAGGAAGTACAAAAGCCAGATGTGTGTTGGACTAGGAATCGCCCTGTACTTCTGCGCATTACCCTGCGTCACTCCTGTAAGATTATTTATATTACAAAAACGCAAAACATTAGACCTTACTATCACATCCTTTATCACTGATTGATGTTGACTTCATTATTATTTGAATGTTCGCTCGGGTTTATTTAACAATGCACCTGAGACAATAATTGTAAACCAATTAATAAGTTTAGCCTTTCATAGTATTACTCTGACTAGAATTGTTAAGTCTTTAAGCCGTTTTTATTTGATATGCAAGCTGTGATATTTTGTTTGTATTTTTTTAGGTATTTTATTCATATTTATTCATGTTTGTCGTAAAAATAGCTCTACAGAGCCAATGTAACTAATTTTAACATATTCGACATTAAATATATCTGCTTGCATCTTGTATCTTGTATTTTGAATTGAACATATACAATTCAGTTGGTCATTTGTATTATATATTTAAAAGAAATGCTACATGTGAAACAAATGCAAGAAAAGTTAGAATTATTGATGGAGGAGAGGAGGTTCCATGTAAAATGCCGAAATATATCAATATACCTTAATCCTACTAGGCCGGAGACTACATAGTTGGGTTAATGGATCACTACGGGGCCGACTTCTCAGTACTATTTGTGGCAGCCTGTGAGTGTGTCGCGGTCATGTGGGTATATGGTAAGTAGTTAAGCTATTTCTCCGACGTTTCAGTACCGTTTATGGTAGCAAGCTTCGCACAGATGTGAATACATATTTATGCACTTCCCCTTCTGTTTCAACATTCATGCATGTGGGGGATCGGGAGAAAAAAAATACAACTGCTGTTTGAACAAAATTAGGGATTTGCTTTGGTGTTCTCTATTTGGGAACACAAAAGCGACCAAAATAAATCTGCTGCAACCGTCTAATATTTGGAATCTTTATCTTTCTTTCTACTTCTAACTACCTTTTATTACCTAGCGCCTTGCTTGGCAACACCTCACTTTTTGCCTTAATGTTGAGCGTTCCGTTCGCCCAGGTGAGAAAGGCAATGGGTTCAGTCCCAAGGCCGGGACATACCAAAGTCCTTAAAAGTGGTTGTTTTTATTCCCTGCTTAACGTTCAGCATTTAGCGGGAATGGTAACAACTGGTTCACCTGTTGTCAGTATAATGTGACCGGGCAGAATGCTGTGCTGGGTGCCTTCGGCATGGTATTTCAGTGAGATTGCACTATAAAGTCGGCATCAGATCCGAGCTATCACAAGGAGGCAATAGCACTATAAAGTCGGCATCAGATCCGAGCTATCATACGGAGGCAAGCACACCAACATACCCTGTCTCCTGCATACACACACGCAAGCACGCATACACTACACACAGGAGGCACGTCATTAAATGACCTTAGCTGTTAATAGGCCGTTACACAAAATTTAACCAAACCAAATTATGTTTCAACAGTAGCTCAGATTTTTATTTCCACCTTTTTGGCCTCTAAGATCACTAACAAGTCCTAGATCTATTTGGATTTCATAGTTTTGGCCTCTAGCATCACTGATGTGCCCTAGAAAGTCAAAACATCTGTATAGTGGAGTGTATTTCAACAATGCCATACTGTATCTATTACCAAATTTTGAGGTTGCTATCACTTTTATTTGAGTGCTACATCGATTTTAAGTGATACTTTACCATAAGTTTATGTTTACAATAAGTCGTAACAGTAAGTAATTTTAAGTGCAAGAATTCAGTAAATGATCACAGAAAGCCTATTCCGTCTTTGCGTATTGCAGAGTTATCTTCTCTTTAGAGCAGGGATTGATTGTTACGTCATTGGTTCGTGTGAGAAAATTACGTCGTTTTCTCAAAAATTGATGACGTTACTCTCACAAACAAATGACGTAACAATCAATACCTGCTCTCAAGAGAAGATAACTCTGCAATACGCAAAGACGGAATATCATATACAAGTGGTTCACCAATACATTAATACAAGAACTACAATAAGTAAAACGTCTTTTTGTGTGATTGTTCTTAAATATTATTTTTATGTTTTCAAAGGTGCCAAGAGATTCATGAAGAATGTAGAGTATATGTTGGGTTATCCTCCTCGCCCTACGTGGTACTGGTTATTCTGTTGGATTGGCTGTTCCCCCATCCTCATCGGGGTATGTATTGTCTACGTCATTGTGCGCCTATTTATGTTAACTATAGACGTACGTATTATCCCATTCAAGTTTTAGCTCCTTTGTAGTGCAGCTAATGCGCTAATATATGTACGGCGCTAATTCTGGATATGCTTGCTTGTTAATTATATTAGCACCGTTGAGGTATCTCTTATATACTAATTTATGTATGATTCTTACTGTATGACTATTACTGTATGACTCTTCAGCCGTGGTCACATCTTACGGTCACGCACATAGTTGGCCGTAGTGGGGACTGACCGTAGTTTACTGTAGTAGACCGTAGGTGACCTTAGTTAAAAGTATAAGACGTAGTTAGACGAAGTTCAACATAGTTATAAACGTAATTTGAACATCAAGAAACCCATGATTTGGCCGTGGTTAGCCCACAAATGTTCAACATGTTCAAAATATCTCTACGGTGAGTTTGGCTGCCAAGACCCTACTGTGACCGTAGTTTGAACGTAGTTGACCCTAGTTGACCGTAATTGACCCTACTTGACCGTAGTGTTTACCGTAGTTGACCGTAGTAACAACGTACTACGGTTAACACTACGGTGAAATATGGTCAAATAGGGACAAGTACTAGGGTTGGACTCCGTTTGAAGAACGTTCACAGTTCTGTTAAGTACAGTTAACCCTTTCACCACTGTAGACCATAATGGACTCATCCAGATCAATGTATGGAAGAGTCTACTAATGTTACGTAGGGGTGAAAGGGTTAAGCACTAGAGTGCTGAGTGACTCCCTACTTTAACGTTTATAACTACGTCTAACTACGTTTAATACGTTTAATAAGTTTAACTAAGGTCACCTACGGTCTACTTCAGTCAACTACGGTCATCCCCCACTTCAGTCAACTACGGTCATCCCCCACTACATTCAACTACAGTCATCCCCCACTTCAGTCAACTACGGTCATCCCCCACTTCAGTCAACAACGGTCATCCCCCACTTCAGTCAACAACGGTCATCCCCACTTCAGTAAACTACGGTCATCCCCCACTTCAGTCAACTACGGTCATCCCCTACTACAGTCAACTACGGTCATCCCCCACTTCAGTCAACTACGGTCATCCCCCACTACAGTCAACTACAGTCAACTACAGTCATTCCCCACTTCAGTCAACTACGGTCATCCTCACTACCTTCAACTACGGTCATCCCCCACTACAGTCAACTACAGTCAACTACAGTCATCCCCCACTACAGTCAACTACAGTCAACTACAGTCATCCCTCACTTCAGTCAACTACGGTCATCCTCACTACCTTCAGTCAACAACGGTCATCCCCCACTTAAGTCAACTACAGTCATCCCCCACTTCAGTCAACTACGGTCATCCCCCACTACAGTCAACTATGGTCATCCCCCACTACAGTCAACTACGGTCATCCCCCACTACTGTCACCTTCAGTCGTCCCCTACTACAGTCAACTACGGTCAAACCCCACTTCAGTCAACTACGGTCATCCCCTACTACTGTCAACTAAGGTCATCTCCCACTTCAGTCAACTACGGTCATCCCCAACTACAGTCAAACTACGGTCATCCCCCACTACAGTCAACTACGGTCATCCCTCACTACAGTCAAGTACGGTCATCCCCCACTTCAGTCAACTACGGTCATCCCCCACTACAGTCAAACTACGGTCATCCCCCACTACAGTCAACTACGGTCATCCCCCACTACAGTCAAGTACGTGCGTGACCTTATGATGTGACCGCGGCTTTACTGTATGAGTTACCATTGTTATTTAAACCCCCTGCAATATAATGCGCTAGTTTATTGATTGTGTTAATTGTAGATATACACGGGTTTTTCTTTCATCATTTAAGTAAATTTTTGTTATTTCTCATGCGCGTGTTAACGGCTGGTGTCGACTATTGTAGATATACATGTGATTGATTTTTTTATTTCCATTATTAATGTAGTGCCTTTTTTTATATCGCTAATGTTCGTGCTAATTGTGGAATTACATGATTTCTGAAGGACATATTGGCAAGAAGTCGATTTAGGATTGCGTTTATAGATAGAATATAATATTTGGGATTAAAATAGAAATATTATAATATATATAAATAATAAGAGTTTCTGAAAATAGTTAGTTAAAATAGGAGTAAAACCAAACCATAACGAAATCAGTGAATATACTGTAAAATGAATTTAAGGCTTAAATTTCGTGCTTTAAACTCAAATAATGAATGCTGAAAAAATCGTTAGTGTGTTTGATTATGATTAAAAATATTTTACCTCATCAAAACATACTTTAATATACCATGTGGAATGTTAGTGTTGTGTTGGTAGCGATTATTTAACATTTCATTTGAATTTTATTTCTATCCGAAGATAAAAATGAATTACCTACAATATAATATGTTTAGATATGACATTAATATTCGCCCTCAACCGATAAATTCAATATTCGCTAGTGTTCATTTCACCCTCCACACGTAAAATAAGTATTCGCCAAGTGTTTATTTTGCTCTCCACTAGAAAAATCAATATTCACCCAGTGTTCATTTCGCCCTCCACCAATAAAATCAATATTCGACAAGTGTTCATTTCGCTCTACACCAGTAAAATCAATATTCGCCAGGGTTCATTTCACCCTCCACACGTAAAATAAGTATTCGCCAAGTGTTTATTTTGCTCTACACTAGTAAAATCAATATTCACCTAGTGTTCATTTCGCCCTCCCCCAGTAAATCAATATTCGCCCAGTGTACATTTCGCCCTCCACTAGTAAAATCAATATTCACCTAGTGTTTATTTCGCCCTCCACCAGTAAAGTCAATATTAGACCAGTGTTCATTTCGCCCTCCCCCAGTAAATCAATATTCGCCCAGTGTACATTTCGCCCTCCACTAGTAAAATCAATATTCACCCAGTGTTCATTTCGCCCTCCGCTAGTAAAATCAATATTCACCCAGTGTTCATTTCGCCCTCCGCCAGTAAAGTCCATATTACCCCAGTGTTCATTTCGCCCTCCGCTAGTAAAATCAATATTCACCCAGTGTTCATTTCGCCCTCCCCCAGTAAATCAATATTCGCCCAGTGTACATTTCGCCCTCCACTAGTAAAATCAATATTCGCCCAGTGTACATTTCGCCCTCCACTAGTAAAATCAATATACACCCAGTGTTCATTTCGCCCTCCCCCAGTAAAATCAATATTCGCCCAGTGTTCATTTCGCCCTCCACCAGTAAAATCAATATTCGCCTAGTGTTCATTTCGCTCTCCGCTAGTAAAATCAATATTCACCTAGTGTTTATTTCGCCCTCCACCAGTAAAGTCCATATTAGACCAGTGTTCATTTCGCCCTCCACCAGTAAAATCCATGTTAGCCCAGTGTTCATTTCGCTCTCAACCAGTAAAATCCATATTAACCTAGTGTTCATTTCGCCCTCCACCAGTAAATCAATATTCGCCCAGTGTTCATTTCGCCCTCCACCAGTAAAGTCCATATTAGCCCAGTGTTCATTTCGCCCTCCACCAGTAAAATCAATATTCGCCTAGTGTTCATTTCGCTCTCCGCAAGTAAAATCAATATTCACCTAGTGTTCATTTCGCCCTCCACCAGTAAATCAATATTCACCTAGTGTTCATTTCGCCCTCCACCAGTAAAATCAATATTCACCATCCTTCACATGTGAGTAATATATATGGTATGCTGTTTACCAATATTCACGGTTATTTTGTTTTCGCAATCGTTACAGAACAGGAGAAAGGCCGCCAAAATTTCCCGGCATACATTAGTTTTATCTAAATATTTTTGATATATTTTAAAAAAGTATTTATTCTATTATGTTCTTGAATTTTTACTACAGGCATTGTTCATATACCGGATGGTACAGTACAAGCCTATTGAGATATCCAAGGGCGTGCCTTACCCAATGTACGCGCAGTCGATAGGCTGGGTACTGACCTGCTGCGTCATGTGTCCAATTCCAATCTATTTCGTGTATAAGTTCCTCACCACAGACGGATCCATTGGACAAGTAAGTATCGGTCTCACTCGTGTAGTCATACTCTGTTCATATAAATTCCGACAGGTTTGAATAGAAATGAAATACGAAGAGAAAAAAATGTATGGTAAAATGTGTGAAATCTTTCGAATCAAATATGGTGACACATTCCACGATTTTATGTCGTTCTTGTAGTATTTCATGCAGAAACGCCATGCTGATGACAATTTCTTATGTAACGAAAATTAGTTATTGTAGCAGTCAAGCCTAATGAAAACGAGAAGGCGATCTATATCGTTTTAAAACTATTGAAAAATCTACTTTTATTGCAATTAGATTTTAAGCACATCGGTTGGTTGGTTGTGTAGGGTTAAACGTCCTATCGACCGCTACGGTCATTTAAGGACGATTACACACATTGGAAATCGAACACACAATTACAAATGTCATCAATATATATATATATTTCTATTATTTAACTATTATTTGCTATTGTTTACAGAGATTACGAACAATAACCACGCCCACAGATGCCTGGGGTCCTAACGATGGTAGTGACAAGGTGAAAATGTACGAACCTGAACCAGTAAGAAAGTACGGGGTCGACAATCCCACCTCGACACACATGTGACAAGACAAATGAGTAGTTCTGTGACATCTAACATTCAGTGCAAACCATCATCTGTAAAAAATATTTATTCAGATGAGCTCTTGTGTGAGCGTGACGTCACATGGACGACACCGAATATCATAATTTTCACTCCAATGTGTTTGCTGTTTCATCATGTCATCGTTTTTGTTCGCGTGTCGTTAACGCAATATTTCTGTCAGTAAATTGAAGTCTTTGTATGTGAATACAGTTTAGGACCTCAGTACCACTGCCGAAAACTGTAACCTATGATATCTGGGGGGTTTTCCGGCATGACGTTATTGCTTTGGTAAATAATTTCGAAAAGGAAAACGATTCCTTCCGGGAAAAAGATAACAAATATGGAAAAAGAATAATATAATTGACAATAGTGTTCTGAGTGTAAAACAAAATTCAACGGAGTAAAGCAGGAATCGAACCCTTGACCTCAGACTGTTTAACGTTTTCTGTTACCAACAGAAGTGTCCTTGCCCGATTCGTCACAGTTATGTTCTTAACGAAATCAAGGGGTGGTTACTGTATAGATGAAACACCACAGTGTTTTTGCCTGCAGTCATCCTCGATATCCAGGGGTTACGCTCACTTTCGCTCTGATCTACACCCCTGGAATATGTCATGGCAAAATCGACGGCTCAGTAAGCATCGCCTTGTGGATGAGACAAGAAGACTATTTTGTTCCTTTGATGTACATCAAAAGAATCTCGCGGTCGCGTAACGGTAAAACTTATTCGCTTTTAAGTCGGGCGTCGCTCCTCTGTAATCTTCAAAGGACAGTATCAGCCTAGCGATTGGTCAGGTGTGTTTTTTTAACTGAGACCAATTAAACATCTTCGTGCCTTCAATATTGCTATAACAGTTTCCAATGGTGCAGAAAGCAAAAGTGAGCCTAACCCCTGGATATCGAGGATGGCCTGCAGTGAGATATGAATAAATGAATAAAAACAAAAACAAAAAAAAACATCTCTTCACCCATCAGGTTTTTATGATGGTGAATGTTTGTTTAAGAATAATGAGGTTCTCCTTTGATTTATTTGTATATTGTTTTCCTGTTTCAGGGTTCGGGGTTGAGACTAATTCATAATTAAAATAATATTAGAAACAAATTGCTCAATCGGTTTACTCGTTGCATCAATATCCTACCTAAAGACAAATTTTGAACTCTCTGTTTCACATCAATTGTTAACAACTTTTAAATGCAGGTCATGAAACCTGCATATGAAACTTCGCATTTCTTTTTGTGGTATGAAAGTTGATGTTGTTGATAATACTTATTATTTTGTGAAAACTACCCTACTTCTTGCTAGGAGAACGCGGCATTGGATCGGACCTACGAGCAGAAGACGCTTACCCTTACGGAACACTTGGGTCCTTATTCATAAAACCGTTCTCATGCTCAAGCATTGATTTTGTGCTCCAGTCGAATTTCTTGTTCCCGTTATATTTGCGTTTTTCAAAATCTTATTTTGTCAATAATTTAGAAAAACGATAAAGAGACTTCAAGTCGAATGCTGTTATCAATGTGACATTTGACTTTTTGATCGTTTGTCATGATTTAAGTGAGTTACAAGAAAGCTAGTTTGAGCACAGAATCCATGCACGAGCATGCGAACGGTTATATGAGTACGGGCCTTCGACTTATGCTTCTTGTACTTTTTCTGTGGTCTCCGTGTAATCGTTTTCTTTGTTCGTTTTTTACCGAAGTTTTATCTACTGAGAGTTTGAATTAGAGTTATGATGCAATTTCGTTATCCTCTTGTTTTTACGGTATTATCGAAAAGTCATCTGCTCAAATCCAAACCCTACCTGTATCATTCACGATACTCCCAAAAAGTACGGTACTGAAGAGATGCATTATGGGTAAAATGAACATCTGTTGACATGTTTTAAAGAATCCTTTCTAACAATGTCGATTGGGAACCCATCCTAGTCCAGATACAAATGGTACATAATGTGAGGAACACGGTGTGGAACATTTAACGCAATCCTATCAAATATTACATCATGTTTTGATTTTTCTTTATTGGGGCAGTTGAAAATATTTCGATATTTATTTTCATTTTTACTTGAAATTATTGAAAGTGAATGATATGGGGATGGCTTAATGTAAAGTACACGAATTTTTAGCATTTGCAATATAAAGACCAACACCCTGCCAATAACTCCCCTAAGTATTCAAGTTATCCTTGTTACGTCACCGTACTGATGGCATCCAAATTCGAACAATGATAATTAAAGCACCACTTGCTAATGGTATTGATTTGTTAATAAAGTGATATTGTAGATTTAAATATAACTATGTAGGCTAAATATTATTGAAAAAACTAACACATATACGTAACACTCAATTTCGCTCTCTGCACACCTGGAATATGTCATAGCAAAATTGAAGGCTCAGTGTGCACCACCTTGTGGATGAGACAAGAAGACTAGTTCGATCCTTTGATGTAATCAAAAGGTCATTTGTTTTACCTGACACCATCCAAATAGCTAGCCGCGTGCCTTCAATTTTGCTATGACATATTCCAGGGGTGTCGAGAGCGGCAGTAAGCGTGACCCCTGGATATCTAGGATGATTTCAGGGGTGTAGAGAGCGGCAGTAAGCGTATCCCTTGGATATCGAGGATGACGTATCATATCATGTATGACGTTTAGCATTTATAAAAAAAAAATCCAATTCATTAGTTCATTGTCATTCATATTTCGAGTAATAAATGACATGTTTTTGCGACTTCTATTTTAAATATTATACTAAATTCTTGCATGTTGCTTTAAGGATCCCCGTACCACTTCCAAACATTGTAACTACGGGAAGGAAACGGGATTTTTTTCAGCTATGACTATAGGTTTAATAATTCGCCGTTGACGAGAGACGTTAGGTAAATCTCACAACTAACAACCAAGCTGATAATCTAACATATTGTCGTAATCATTAACTAACAATAAACTGTATTAAACTTTTTAAATAACAGTTTTCACTTATTTTTTGTATCCCTTTAAAAATCGTAAAGTCATGTCGAATTACTGATAATTTACAGTCACACACATATATATATATATATATATATATATATATATATATATTACATACATTATGTAATATGTTATAGTCACGTACATATTCCACAGTTACAACATATATATATATATATATATTCCCACGGAATTAGCTTACTATCTAAGTCCGTGATATTCCACAGTAACAGATATATATTTCACAGAATTAGTAATACGTACCGACAGTACCTAAAGGGGCACTTGATCCGAACAGTAGTACTTTCGAGATAAACATTTTACACGCAAAGAACATATTGAAACATATTTAAAATAACGTGGAAAAAATAAACTGATAATTATTCAAAAGTTGTTGTGTTTTATTTGGTGCTTCCAGGAAAGCTTATTGCGCCAAAGCACAAAGATCGAGGTTATATAGGTTGGAACTCGTGTAAGGTCAACTTGACGATTGGACCTCATATGGAGAAATGACGGTAACTTTGCTAATTTGCATAATCCGCCATCTTGGATAAAATGGCGGCCATTTGGCCCATTGGGATAACACTATGGGCTTTAAGTTTATGAGTTTATCGGCTGGATAGTAATCCGGATATTATTTGCAGGGATGTCAAATTTCCCTACACACCGTCTAAATATGGGTTACAAGTTAATTAGCGCGTTCCATTAAAAACTCGAGGTTCCTGGAGTAGATTAACTTTTGAAGCGAGGGCGCCTATATGTTCTATGTAATCGAATACTGGAAAACGACCAAATAGCCATTTTCTGCACTTTCGATCGAAATTTTCGATGCTGTCTCCATGACCTAGATAAGTTGCCGAGATTCGCTCGGTAACTTCCGGTTTAGAAAAACACAGTTTATGAGTTTTTTTAAGAATATTTGCAATATCCGAGGTTCCTGGAGCATTTGAAAAGTGGATTTTCTTATATTTGACATAAAATCAAAGGGCACCATAGGGGATTATGTAAAAACATCGTATTCTTCTGAAAGTGAAAGGAGTATCCATGTTTTTGTGACACTCTCTCGACTTGAAAGAGGCACCAGAAGGATTCATTTAAAATATTTACTTATTCAATCCTTTCAGATAAACTGAATTTGATATATATTACTGTGGGTAGAATTACAAGAATGCTATTGTACACGAATGGCCACATGATTCGAAAAAAATAACTTCTCACCGATCTGACATGTTATATGTAAATTATTTAATATTTCTTTTTAGTTATTTCTTCCAGAACATGCCGTGACATAAAGTTTGTCCCTGTTTCAGACAACGTTGTTAAATAAATGTATAGACAATCTTTTATTCTAAGTTGGTATCACATATGAACGTACGTGCTCGATCACCTCATAATTTGTATACGTCAAAATAGGAGCAAAAACGGATTTTCAGGACGAAAATTAAAGCATAATGATACATGTACTTGAAGCTAATCGATGTTGTTATATTTTTTAATTGATAAGTCAATCCGTCTGCCTTATTGTTGAATGAAACATGTAAATTTATCAGTCGTTCCAACTAACTATATTTAAATTCAACATTTGAAAAAGAGCTGGTATTCCAGCGGCCTCCCGGCGAAATGATCATCTGAGACATATACATTTAATTCTTCTCTCCGGGATAGTCTTGTTCACGTCTTGCACCCCTATTCTGTTACATATAAATATACATAGTCCTTAGTATATTAAGTAACATCCGTCAGCCCGTGATCTTTGTATCACGTATACACTAACTGTACTACTGCAATATATATGAGATTACAATCGTCATATTTGGTCTTATTTTATTCTAATTATGCAACTATTTTAAGATACCACACCTTTTATTTTTGTACACAAGTTTGATCACAACTTATAGGCTATATATTCACTTGTTGGAATTTTAGATTAAAACCAATCGTGCAGTTGAATTACATTACCCCTTCGGGGGCCCCTTGAACTTTCGCAAATTTCTGATTTTAAAACACCAATTTCT